ACATTTGGGGAGTTGTAAACTATCACCAGGACCCAGTTTGAAACCATTTTTAACCCCACACCTTCAAATTATATTTGTGCTCCTTTTAGGTGAACCCGTGCTCCTGAACCCAGGCCAAGACCTGGGATCTTTACCAGGGTGTTCTCCTGCAGACACTGAACATAATGGTTATGCTATGAACCAGAAAGTTGATGGACACTCCTCTCAGCCTCACATGCCCTCAGTATCCTCCTGCATCAGCTGTTTGTCTGAGGATATTAAATTGGAAAATGGCTTAAAAGGACAAAATGGTTCATCAGATTTATCTTTTCTCCTTGAAACATTAGTCTATCGTGTCCTTAGTACCTCCATTAGCACTAAATGCTGTCCAATGTGAACCTTTTATATTTTAAATATAAAATATTATATTTTCTAAATGACTAGGAGTATTTTTCTGAAACAACCTAATGTACTACCACTAAAACCCAGTTTTATGTGCTTTAAAGTTGGGGTGCATTTGAGTCTGTTTGCATTTGGGGTGGAAGTAGCCTGAAGAGAGGAAAGAGGGAAGGAGCCTATCACTTGTTCTAGAAACCTCATGTTAAATATCATCACTTCATCTATTATCTCTAAATATTGGTGTTACCCATCTGTGAAATATCTTACTAGAAAATAACTCCTAGAAAACAGGCCTCTCCAGATTCTTTAAAAATATGGGGCTTGTTAATTTGTTATAGTTAAAGCTTCATCCCAGGGTTTCATAAACTGACTTCCAGACCACTCACGTATAATCGAATCAAGCCTTTATTGAAGCACACCGCTGGAGGCTGACCAGAACATAAAGCTGTTCCCCTGATGACCCCTGAACAATTGCAAGGGCACTCCTTATAAGCCTGAAAACTGCAAAAGGGATGTTCAGGGGGTCTAGCCAATGCAAGCAAGCCAGGTTACAGAAGCTGGACAGTGCAGTCAAGTGGAGGGAAGCCTAACCAATCACAGTTAGCCCAGTCACCCCAATTACAGAAAGAGAGCCCCGTTACCCTAGTTACAGAAACAATGCCCCGTTAGGTAGTTTTTTGTTCTTAAAAGTTTCTATAGCAAAAGGAAAAGAACATTTTGCCCTAGTCATGACTCTTCTACTTGGCATGGTTGTTTTACAGGATGAAGTCATAAAACAAAATGGAGTCATATTTGCTTCTACTACCACAAATTTCTGTTATTTTATGTCTTCACTCTGTCAATGTTTATCAAAGGGTTCAGCTGATATTTGGGATGGAACACTTCCATTTTGATTGAAAATTATCTGGTAAGAATGTCAGCCATTATAAAGTCAAAGAAAAACAAGTGCAGGCGAGGACTCGGGGAAATAGGTACACTCATATATTGCTGGTGGGACTGCAAATTGGTACAGCCAATTAGGAAAGTAGTATGGAGATTCCTTGGAAAGCTGGGAATGGAACCACCATTTGACCCAGCTATTCCTCTTCTCGGACTATACCCAAAAGGCCTAAAAACAGCATACTACACGGGCACAGCCACATCAATTTTTAGAGCAGCACAATTCACAATAGCTAGACTGTGGAACCAAACTAGATGCCCTTCAGTGGATGAATGGATAAAAAAATGTGGCATTTATACACAATGGAATATTACTCACACTAGAAAATAACAAGATCATGGCATTTGCAGGCAAATGATTGGCATTAGAGCAGATTATGCTAAATGAAGTTAGCCAATCCCTAAAAAACAAATGCCGAATGTCTTCTCTGATATAAGGGGGGTGCCTCAAAATGGAGTAGGGAGGAAGAGCATGAGAGGAAGATTACCACTAAATAGGGCAGAGAGGTGGGAGGGAAAGGGAGGGAGAAGGGGAATTGCACAGAAGATGGAAGGAGACCCTCATCATTATACAGAATACATGTATGACAGTGTGAGTGGAAAAAAAAAAGAAGTGTGTCACATTAGATTGGGTAGAGAGAAG